CGCAAGTGCTGCGAAGCTCCGCTTTTCTGTGTCAAAATTTGACGATCGTCAAAAATTCTTGAAATTCATATAGATTTAATCTCATATTCTTTTTCTGTGGGTAAATTATACTTATTTTAGTGGTAAATTGTCTTCATAATAATTATAAGATCGTTATGTGCAAATGTTTTTTTTTCAATTTTTGGCCTTTTAAGGATATTTTTCCATGCTCGTTTAACTAGAGTTTGAGCCTTAAGTTTTCATCACAAACAACTTGGTCACCAGAAACGAAAAAAAATTGTGTATTTTTCAAAATTCCTCCGAAACCCGCGTTAACTCTCAAGCTGAAGAAACATAAATCAAAAACTCCGTCCATGAGTTAAGCTGGAAAACATTGAAATCATAAGAAAAAAATATGACCTTAAGTATACACATTTTTTTGCTGACTGGAAGTGCCGAACGCCGCTTATATTAATAACCACGTCGTCTGTTTGTTCGGCCACCCAGACGGGCGGATCTAGGATTTTCTCGAAGGAGGGCGGGTTTTCAAAAAATTTTCGAAAGTTTCGTCGACCTCTATTTTTTTTAGGTCGACTAAATTGTTTTCCGAGCGCTCCCAGATCATTTTGAAAAGCCTGTATCGACAAAAATTTTTGCGCCGCAGGTAATTTTTTTGAAAAAACGGGTCAAAATAACCGTTTTTGGGGAAATTTTGACCAAAAAGTTGCGTTTTTTGGCGCGCGCTCCCCTTCAAAATTTCGTCGACCTCTATTTATATTAGTTTATATGGGTGCCAAAGGCGACTTTAGAAATTTTTAGGGTTGGTCAGCCTAAAATGGATATCATAAATTAACACCAAAGGGGGACCCTTGTTGAGGGGGCGTTCACCTCCAACACCCTAAATCCGCCCCTGCACGCAAGACTATATTGCTGTATAATTTATCTAGCAACTCTAGTATCTGCAATGTGTCTACCAGCTAGTGAAAACCATCATTTTTTCTCGACAAGAAACAGACAAGTTTTACAGCAAGGGTAGAACTGCTGTGTAAAAAAAAACAAAGAATGTTGCAATCACAGTTTTCAAAGCAAAAAATGTTTAGCAAGCAATATATATATATATATATATATATATATATATATATATATATATATATATATATATATATATATATATATATATATATTTCAAAATTAAAAAGTGAAATGGTTGATGCGTAGATTATAATAGACTTAAGCAAACCATCTATATGTTGCAAAAATATATTGCGAATGACATCCTGTAAATGACGACTAAATTTGAATCTGAATGGCGATGATGTTCACACCAGGCTTTTTCGACACTGAGGCGACCTTTCAATTTTTTTTGGAAATCCCAGTCACGGCCAACAGATATTTAATCATACCACAAGAGAACGCTAAGAGTTTTTATGAACTAGTTGAAATGGCTAGAAAAACGCACCAGAAGTCATAGTTCCTTCCAGTCTTTTTGTGACGTGGTCGGAATGATTATTAGTTTTTTTTATCGAAGGGTCGTTTTTGTTTTGCAAAATACCCGAGATCATTCTGTGCTAATTGCCCAGCAACAGGCTTTTATTCTTTCATGAACAACTCAATTGCCTCAAATTTCCATGGATTTAAATGGTATTTTTTTTGTTACTGCAAAAATTGCTCCATGAATAAGTGTTGGAAAACGTGTCTGCTTACTGTGCTGTCGATTTAATCGAATGTTTGCTCATTTCTTTCTATGCAATCTTAAATGTACATTTTTAACATCCATCATTTTATATTTTAAGCCAATGGATGTAGGAAATAGTGTTTTTTTATCTATTTGTAAGCACGTTGTAACATTTTTTGGCTTGTTGGCCATCAAATAGTCCCATTTTCCATCTGGAGGCCTAGTGTGTTTAAATACATAATTCGAAGTTTGACATAATTATATCAGTTATTGAAAGCTTCACATGCAGTCATACCATTTTGTTACGTTTAGTTGAGAGAAATTAA